CTAGTAATATTCTTTAAGAAATGTAATATGTTTGCAAAGTTAAAATAATTCCTGCTCACAATTGTAAATGCAGTTGTTATATCACTACCACTACAAAGAATATTAAACAGGAAGCGCAAAAAACGACAGCTATGTTACAGAAGTACCCTTTACAAATAAATGGCAAAAAAATTCATTTCCTAGAAGGTTAATTAAAAAGGATTATCAGGTCTGCTGAAAAGAACTGATAGCAAATGTTAACTCTCAACACTTTTTTTTCAAAAATGAATTGCAAAATACACTTTTGAACTATTTTCTGCTGAATGACACAAGATATGTTACTTAAGAGCAGAGTTGTAACTATTAATCTTTACAGTTAACTCCTAATTATCCATGAAAAGAAGTGGCACAATCAGCTAAATACTATGTTGTGCCTTTATATAATTAATTATTCCAAAACACCTCTATATTCAAAGTATTTGGTGGCTTAAAAACATTTTATAAATGAAAATATATATAGATAGATAAAAGAAAGCAATGTGGATATCCATCAAGATATCACAAAAAAAATCTTGCTTATTAAATATGGTGGAACAGAATCTCCTAGACAATATTTCATGGATAAAACTTTACACTGACAAAATCCTAATAGTGTTAAAAATCTTAATTATAGAAGCATTTCATTCAAAGATTTGTTCTAAACACAACATGAAGATAATCTGTCAGTCAATAATCAGGAGTTTACTGTATTTCAAATGCAAAGAAAAATTTGTTATTAAAAAGTGTAGTATGACACATTGCTTATAAACACTACAATGTGGTTGCAATTCTGAAAATCTGAATTCTTCCTGAAATTTAGGTAAAAATTAAAATAGGCATTTGAAATGTTAAAACATTTTTACCTTATCATTTAGTGGTCACTAGATGTTATATAGAAAGTGAATAAACAAGTTACGCTTAAAAAAATTTAAGTGCTCACAGTGCTTTGTCTGTTCTTGTTTAGTTTTAAAAAAAACCTTATGATACATATTAAACTGCCAGATAGCATTAATAAAAGTAATCAGAAAACACTAATTTATAAATCAGCTCTATTTTTTTTAAAAAAAAAAAACAATAAAAGCTACATTATAAAAATAAAAAAGCATGCAATGAAAGAAGAAATTTATTTAAGCAGTAATATCCTAAAAATTAAATTTCAAACAGTTACACTAATAAGTTACACAATATTCATTGACAATAATATTGTTTGCATTAAAATCATGATATAGAATTAAGGTGAATGGTGGGTTTACTTTAACAAAAATGCATCATAACATTTACAAGATCTAAGGTGAATTTAAAACTAAGTTTCAAATAAATAAAAAAAGTAATAATCAAAGCAAATTTAAATGCATGTAATTTTGCATAAGAGAAAGTTTATAAATATTCAAATAAAATTAACTAAAAATATTTCATTATGATTTATTAAATGCAAAAAAAAAATTTAAAAGTTTAAAGATACATTTGGCACAAGCTTAAAAGAAAAAAAAGGAAAAAGGATCTTAAATAAAAAATATCATGCTTTCCTAATAATTAAGTACAAAAAGAAATTTTTTTTTTTGCCTCATTGACATCTAATTTTTATCGATTCATAATTTACATTACAGAAAAAGAAACATTTTTAAGTGCAGAACATAGCACCAGGGATTTTATTTATAAGAATAATGATTTATTATTTTTCAATTCTGATTGAATGACATTTTTAATTCAAATTTTTGAACAGAAATTTTGAATTACTATGCACAATTTGTTTAAAATTTCAATAATGGGTTAAAAAGCTTTTCTTTAACAGACCGTTTATTCAGTAAAGAAAGTGAAAGAAGTTTTAGAAGATTTTTACAGAAAGAAAGAGAGAACCGTAAGAAAACATGTCACTAAATTAGAAGTGCAAAATCTTTATTTCCTTAGAAAAAGCAATGGAGTAAAAAAAAAAAAATAAATGAATTTTAATGAATAATTCAAATAAAAATAGATTCAATATTTCTCTAATATATCTTTCCTGTATATACTATTCCATTATCATAAAGACAAAAGTAAATTGACACTTAATCACACATTCTTTTTTAAAAAAAAGAAAAAAAACTTTCCAGAATAGATTTAAATATCCTACTCTAATTTTGGAAGTGTTAACAATTTTTGTGATAATTTTAAATAAAGATTTATAAATAAAACCTTCAATATTCTATCCTTTTAAATATTGTTTGCAAAAAAATAATTGAACTATCAATCATAAATTTAGAAAAGAAAATTCTACATTTTTACTCGACGAAAAACAGTTTACTGACATGGAAGATATTCCAGATATGAATAAATAACAAAGATACAAATGAAATAAACATATATTCTCAAGAATTAATTAACTTTTGATTGCGCCTTCTGAGAATGACAGAAATTCAGCATGCAACAATAAAATTGAAACCACATTCATATATGCCGAAAAATACAGAATAACATCCTTTACAATATTTATCTCTGTTACAATTTTAATTGTTTTTATTTTTTAATTCTATTTACAATGTTTTAATATAAGTATCACAAGTTTGAAGGAGATGAAATACCTAGCTTTACAAATGAGCTGTGAATATCTCAACACACACATACGAAAAAGTTTAAAATAAAAATATTTAAAATTTCAATATGTTCTCATTATCAATACTAGAACAGTATTAAATTCGTTGAAGCTTAAGTTAAAAACTCAGACTTATAACCTTTCACGGGTAATAAAAAAAGTAAGATAACAATGTTGCTTTTGAAAAAAAAACACAGTAAAAGAAACGTCTAGATCTAGAAATAACACAAGATAAAAAAAGGGGTTAATGAGGGCAGAATGCACATAAAATAATGCTTTCAAAAAATACTTTTGTTTCATGGCTGACTTACTTTTATGCACTTTGAAAATATGTGTTTATGTAAGGAAAAAAATTAGGAGTTAAGTGTTGAGTGTAACCATACAACCTCTAGTCTACATATCACTTTACCATATAAATCAATCTAAATCTTTGTATGATATGGATATATTTTACAAGTGATTGGTTTGTTTTTTATACATCACAAAATAATTGCAGAAAGAGAAAATGCTGTAAATGAGGTAACAAAAGTTACATGGTGATGAAATGTAAGTTCTCATTCATTTGCCCTTTATCATGTGTTAATACTAAAAAAAAATTACTAAGAATTATATTCAGTACATATTTGCACCATATTATTGGGACAAAAAAAAGGAGGAAATTTGGTAAAGACATAAACGAAAAATTAACTTTGAGTATTGTACCAAGATAGTGTTAATGCTTCATATTAAATATTGTACACTTGGAAGCTTTGCTTAAAATATATCAAAGAGTTTTTTAATATACTTCTACCACCTTTTAATCTACCACATGCAGCCCCACTATAAATTATTTTTACTTTAACCTGGGTTTGAGATATTGGGTCGATAAAATGAGTACCAAGCATGCTTGGGGACTATACACTGAAGATTCCAAATTTAACAGATCACCCAATTAGAATATCTGCTTCTGCACCCCAGAGCCAAAGTCAAGAAAACTGGAATGAAAACAGAAAGCTGGCCTTAGCCTTTCATGGGCTGTAGTGAAACTGAGTTTATTCAAGTTTGAGAAAAAATTATTTTATGTAAAGGTATCATATAAGCAATTCAAAAATTTTTTAACTCTCCAGAATTAGTCCTGATTTTATACGAAGTTGAAACTGATGACCTTTCTGTAAGATTAAGTACAATTCTCTTATGTTACTTGATAAGAAAGTAGAAAGATTAATTTTGACTTAATGTTGACTAATTTTTAAAATTGCCTTTAAAAATTAGTCAACTAAAACCCAGTGTGCTGATAAGGCATTGTTTATCCCCATTGCTATAGCATTTTAAGTCTAGATTAATAATCATTAATTTGTATCCAGGCTGAACATCCAGTTAACCAACCCAAAAAATCTTGATACTAGTTTCATATAATCCTCATGGTTGAATGACTCATTGCTCTCTTACTCATTCAAGATTTCAGTCTTGGTAAGTAACTGAACTCTTGAGAATTAATTTTATGTATGGGTAAACAGACAAAATTTTTTAATAAGGTTCTTAGTGATAAAATTTTATTCTAAGCATAGTTTTCAGATTATTTTGCACAGAAATTATTTATATATTTCAAGCAAAGGTTCTTGTATATTGAATTAATATAGACAATCAGACTATTATCAAAATAATATATAACTAAAATTAGAAATTTGTTTTGGAAAAAAAAATTTTTTTTTTAACTACTGACTTAATTACTAATCAAATAAATAAAGTTATCATGTTTCATATGTAATTCAGCTAAAACACAGCAAGTTTTGTAATTGCATTAATATTATAACATAACAATAAGTATGTCAATGCAATGATGAGTATTTTAAAATACATTAATTTACAATTAACAGCAACAATTTTAGTCTATTCAACTTTTGGTTTAAATATTTTAATTATTAAATTTATTTTTTTCATCAATAATATAGATACCTATTATGGATTTTTCTGCTCATAATGAGAAATTTGATAATGAGACTAATGTTGTATATGGTTTAAGAGATAAAAAAGAAAAAGAGATCTAATTATTTGGAACAATAGTTAAAATACTTAAAATGTTTCTGAGTCAATTAAAATAATAACAAAATGGTCTTTAAAACGAAGGAAATTAATACTTCAGAAAAGAATAGTGCTACTTTACAAAGATATGAAAGAACTTTTAATGTTGGCATTTAATTAACAAGGAAATAAACTCTACTTTTTTTTTTTTAAACCAACTTGATCATGATTAAAAAGAAATCATCAAAGAGCCCAACAACTTCACATATAGCTGAAAAATAAAACATAACATGTAGAAGTATAATTTAAGATCTCAAAGCAAAACATTAGATTCTTTATATAAATATGAGAAAAACACTAAAATGAATTAAAAATTAAATGGGATATTAACATAGGAACTTTGGCTGTGTGGTTATATTTCACAGTATTAGTACTGAATATTTTTCTCAACTTGTACAATCAGTTTTAATGGATACAATAACTCAGTCACAGAAAATTAACAACTGCAATTACTAAAGATTACTGGCTTAAATTAGGTGACTGTTTTTTCTCCTCCTGGCTTGCAGGTTGAGAGCTTGTGGATGGGGCTGTAACAGGGGGGCGTTCTGTTGAAGGTGCACCAGATGATGGAGGACCTGACCAAGTTGTTGATGGAGGAGGCCCCACGGTAGTACTTGGAGCAGAAGTTATAGGATTTGTGGCAAAATCTTCACTTTCTTCTAAACCATTTGCTGCCGCCGCAGCAGCGGCAGAGGCATCATATTGAGTGTTTTCTAGTCTTGTAATGAGCCTCTCATCTTCATCACCAAATTCACCTCCCATTAATGATGGCTCCCCGACAACCATAACATCCTGAAATATAAGTATTACAATTTATGCATTTAAAATAATGGCTAACAATCTGATTTTATGCTTTCAATGTCAAATTTTTGAAACGAGGGCATGCAATATTAATTTTAATTGTGTGTCGCAATGCCTGGCAAATTCTTTACAATTTATATACAAGGTAAAATAAATAATAAAAATTCATCTTGTTCTTCTAGATTGAAATCTAATAACTTAATGATTGCTACTACTATGTTGATGAGTCATACATAAATCAGGAGAGAAAAAAGATTAATAAAATAAAGTATGTTTTAAAATTTACCTGAGAAGCAAGAGTAAAGTTTGGAGGACCGGGTGATATATTCTTCTTCTTTGCACCAATGTTAGCTCCACCACTATTAGCAGCAGAAGATTTTCGTTTACGTCTTTTACTAGGAGGGCGTTGGGTTTCTAGAAATTAATAAATAACACATTTATTCAACAAGCCTTTAAATACAATTTTAAATACATTAAGATTCTGAATAATTTTTTTACTAACTCAATTTATCCCTTTATATCAAGACCTTATATATATATGAAAAATTTTAATTAAAAAAAATTTTTTTTTCAGAAAGTTATGAGCTTTTAAATTGTGTTTTTAATTTCTCAGTCTGGTAAGTTAAGTAACATAAAAAGGAGTAGATTCGTTTTTCACCTTAAAGGTACTCAATTTCACAAACTTTAAATCACTAACTAAAAAATTCCTAGCAAAGGTAACTTATTTTTAGTTGTTTGAAAATGGTATTTTGTTATATTAGTAATACAAATGTAAAATTTTTTAAAAATTTAAAACTACATATTTTGACAGAAACAATAGCATGTGGTGCTTTACTTTGGTTGTGACTAACCACATATGAAGAGAGCAGGCGACCCGCTACCATCCCTTAAACATTACAGAAAGTTACCAATATGTTGGAGTAGTTATGGTCGTGATCATCATCAAAATTTAGAAGATGTTTGATGGGTTTTCTGAAAGGTACCTTGACTTCTTTGTGGTATAAAGTTCCCCTTTGTTGGTGTTCCAAAGGAGCTTTCGGTTCAAAATTTATTTCTGTGATTGATAACTTAGTGGTCTAGCTGAGGAATAACTTGAAGCTAAAAAAATTTAGAAGATATACTAGTTAGCCAAATCTCTAGTCTTGAATCTTGTACAGCTTGTTTGGAATGCTCTTCCCTTCCAGAGCTAAGAACTTGCTTTAATGGGGTTGCCTAAGATTTTACAGGCTATCTCATAAATGCCTATCTGCAATATTGTCCATATTGCAGATGCTTTTAATCATATTGCTCATTTTGAAATGATATATTGTTTCTATAACTTTCTTAACTGCCTTGAAAGTATTTAATTTTGGTATCTAGTTCAACAGGTAGATTTTGTGTAAGCTTAGTGTGTGCTCGAACAAGAAAATTGTTACCATTCAGGAATCAATTATACAACCCAATTTCAGACAGAGGCAACGAAATCCTTTGGCTTATTCTGAGAAAATTCCGAATTCTTAATAAAATTAATCACTTTGATGTGAATGGCAGTAGTAGTTGTATCAAATCTTTCAATTCAGATTCTTCAATCCATGATAAGCATTTTTTCTAACTCTGGAAACATGGGTCTACTGCTATGTAACAGTCTTTACGGTTTGGGAACCTGCTCTAAGTTGGTACTTTTTTTTCCTAAGCAGATCAGAAAAGGGCTAATTGATTACCTAACACCCCTGACAGCTAATTGACTCTTCTGTCTTCCCATTGAAGACAGGCACTCCTCTGCTGAAATGCTTATGGAGAAAAGAGGAGGTAAAAAAAACACACACACGTTTATTTCCTTGTGTAGCATGCTCTATCTTTTTACTTTGGTTTATATACACATATTGAATTGTCTGTGAGTTTCCAAATAAAAAGCATACTCTTTACCTTACACACTGATGAGGTTATAGGAATTATAGAGTAATTATTTTATGGTAAACATTTTTTGAAAATATAAACCTTTATTTATGCTCACACTCAAAAAAGTTTTAAAGAAAAAAATATTTCTTTCAAATACATTAAGTATTTATATTGATAAAGGTAAGGTATGGATAAACAACCTTTTTCAGTGAAGGGCCACTTGTACAGCAGGTTAACTAATTAAGGGCCGCACATGTATTTAATTAAATATTACTATACTTGCTGTCTAAACATTAATGTTCTAAAAGGTAACTTTTTTTTATCAGTAAACTGAGTAGTATACAGGGTCTTTATAATTAAAGTTCCATTTTGAAATGGCTATAAAAATAAAACTACCCGACCAAATGTCATCAAACTTGGTAAATGTCTATAAAAGGTCATGGGATTTTAGTTCCTGCAAAAAAAAGTCAGAAATTCACCACTAGCGGAGAATAGCGCTGTATGCAATAGTGTTAAACAAATGTGAAATATGCAAATTTGTTTTACACGTCATGCAACTTTGCAGTTATAAAAGTGAGGCGCCTTGTCTGAGCTGTCAGTGTTCTGAGTCGACAATGTCTGTTACCATGCAAGACCTTGCTTTGCTCGTGAAATGTTACTATGAATGAGGCAGCAATGAACGGAGGGCCTTACAAAAGTTCCGTACTGTAATAGGAAAATGCCTAGGTCCAATGACACCGCAAGGTTTACGGCAAATTTACGGTAAAACCCGTGTAACACATTTGTTTAACACTATTGCATACAGCGCCATTCTCCGCTAATGGTAAATTTTTGAACTTTTTTTTTTGTTTTGTTGCGGGAACTAAAATCCCATGACCTCTTATAGACATTTACCAAGTTTGATGACATTTGGTCGGGTAGTTTTATTTTTATAGCCATTTCAAAGTGGAACTTTAATTATAAAGACCCTGTATTTGTAAAATATGCAAATATAAGGTGCTTGCAAATTTATCTTTTGACAAACGAAATTTGAAGCATTGAAACAAGATTACATTATATTGAACCACAAGTTTTCATACTTCTGTTAATTTATTTATTTTTTAAAAATTATATTTAAGCAATTTCGTCATTTTTACGCCTTTAGTTCTAAGAATGAAATTTTTTTTTCTGTTTCTCCATTTTTATTATAGCTTACAGCATTTTAACAGAACATTTCAGATAGCCTAATCGTTTGCTATCACTTTTTTGATGTACACTAGCATTACACCGGTAATATACAAAAATGTGAAAGTCCTGTTTTAGGAACTAAAAACATATTTTTTTGCTGTTTTTTTTAATTAACTTTTCTTTCATTAGCATGATACAGTATTTTTTAAAGAGCGTTTACAAACTTTATTTTATAGCAAATTTTTTCTAAAAATACGGCAAGTTTCATTTAAAAAATCAAGTTTTCTGTTTCTCTCTAGCTTATTCTTTTAAAAAAATCTAGCTTAAAATCTTATCTAAAAATCTTATAATAATGCATCAATTTTTTAGAACGTTTCTGTTAGCGTCAGTAATGCACAGTTTAAAATCCGCCTCTCATCATTTTTAAAACTGTGGGAATGCATAGAAATAATTGCAAAATAATAATAATAGCAAGGAAATCTGCACAAATCAAGTGCCTAAAAAATTATTATTTAAATAAACGATTGGAAATTTGAAAGTCTAACAATAAATATCGTAATAAAAATATGGCAATTTCAAAATCATGTTGAAAAGCAGAAATAACTGCTAAAAAAATTATTTAGATTTACAACCAAATCAACAAAAAATGTGTTTTAAAGGCAAGATCCAACTTAGAGAATCATAACATCATATTAAGGTTTCCAAAACTATATGAAAATACGATGTTTTTACAGCCGCAAAATAACTCGAAATCGTGCAATTTGAAACAAGTGCCGTAATATCAACTTGGAGAAGCACAGAAATTTTTTATTAGATTTACGAAAAAATCGGTACAAAGAAAGCACAGTGAAAAGCGACTATTTAAATGTGTGATTCAACTTGAAGAGTCATAATATTATCGCATCAAAACTTTGCAAAGTACGGTGTTATAACTGCCGAATAACAATTGAGGATTTTACAATGAAATTGGCAGAAATAAATTGCTTCAAAAAGTGATTAATCGGATACGCGATTGATAACTCATGAGTCAGAATATCGTATTAAACATACCAGGATTTTAAAAACTATACTAAGTAGTTGTAACTGCCGAAAGATCGAGCAAAACTTCATTTGGATTTATGATTGAATCAAAAATAAAGCGTGTCAAAAAATTATTTCTGAAATGTGAAAATCATGTATTGTAATATTGAATTAAAAGTATTGGGTTTCTTTAAACCATGTGGAATTCCTTACAATAACCGCTGAAAAAGCTATCGAGAAATAATATGGAATCTGTAAAAATAGATTGTGTAATATTCTCATTGTTTGCTTTTTTTTAAATTTTTGGAGAAAGAATTCACTGTGTTATAAAGCTTTCCGCACATGAGCAGACAGCGGGCTGCAGGTTTTGCATCCCTAATGTCCCTAATCCTTTAATGGGTATACAGCATGAGAAATCTCATTCTGATAGTACAATATGGCAAATGATTCTAATAAACAAAGGGAATATGTTAAGTTACATAACAGTCATGCAAATTATGAAGTAAGATAGTGCTACCAGACCTACACAAGATAATACTTAATAATGCAAAGTTATTATTTATTATTACATGACAAAATGAATGAAAAATTTAGTTCATAAAGAAATGGCTGATTTATCAAGTCATAGGCAATAAAATGCACCCAAAAATTATTATGGAAAAGTTAGGGTATGTTATAACTGAAGATACATTACAATCTTATACTTTTGAGCTTACAAAACCTGATAGAATTATGCCTGGAAAAACAAACTACCTGGTGGAGCCACCATACGCTGCCACTTTTGGAACAAAGTAGTTTTGAGACAATCCCTTGGACTTAAAGCATATGCTTTATGTCTTGACATAAGCTCTTGCATTGGCTCTAAGATAACACATAACTGTAAGAAAAATAAAATTAGGCAAGGCACACCATAAAAACATGTACAGTCAGGGCTGGATTAACCTATAGGCACGTGCCTAGGGCCTACGAAAAATTTGTTGACAAAAATAATTTAGCTTTAAAAACAACAAGTGTATTTTGCACAAAATTATGAAGATAAATATAATATTTTTCGGTAATAAATTATTTTGCAGAATCTTATGATCTAATATATTACTTTTACGCGATTTTTGGATTCAACAAAATCTTGTATTAGCTGTCGAATTCCAAGACTACGCAAAATGTCATATTCAATATACATAAGTGTGAGCGATGCTAAACGATCATTGTTGAACGCAAATAATTTTTTATCAATTTTAATCTGGAGAAAGATCTTTCTCCTTCTGCATTTGATCCAAGAATCGACAAATATATTCTTAATGCAATGTGAATGTTAGGAAAAATATTCACAAATTTATCTTTAACATTGTTATCGATATCTAGTGCAATATCGGCAGTATATTGGTATTGCAGATAAAGTTTAATAAACAAATTTGTAAATTAAAATCCATATTAATAAAAATATGCAAGAAAATTTTAGCATATATTTTGAAAAGAGGGGAGGAGTGGGGGAAGGAGGGGAGGGCCCAAAAACGGCTATGCCTAGGGCCCACGAAAGGTATAATCCGGCTCTGTGTACAGTGCATCAAAAAAAAAGAGGACCACCTTGAATAACTTTCTTGATCTAATGATCAGATCTTCACGTTCTTTAAATTTGATTTCTCAGGAACCATTCAACCGATTTCACTCAAATTTTGTATTTTGCTATGCAAAATACAAAAAATTCTTCGACTATTGTTTTATAAAAATTTTTTATTGCATGGAATTATCTAAGGATAGACGAATTTTATAATCGTGTGCAAAAAGTTCTCAAGATCTGGCGAAATACGAAAAAAGTCAAATCCAGACAATCGAAAGCTAGTCAATTAAGGGGTCCAAACTTTGGATTGATCTCCTAACCAAACTATCGGGACCATATTTCCCAGATTACACTATAATTTTGGGATCAGAAATACAAATTCTTAGAAAGAAAGGTACATTTATTCAGAGAAAGCACGTTTTTGTGTCTAATTTTGACTGCACTAATTAACATATTTGAGGTCACCCTCTTACACCATTAAGAAGGAGTCTTAGAAACGTGAAGATCCGATCGCTAGATCAAAAGTTATTCAAAGTGGTCCATTTCTTTTTTGGTGCACTGAACATACATATGTCTAATGGTCCAAAGACATTTTAAAAATACTTCAACTTACACGTAAATAATTTAATGTTGAGTTTGTTAAGCCTTGTCTAGTGATATTTTTGGACAACTGTTCCAAAAGAACAGGATCTTGCTGTTGGGCCTGCAGAAAAAAAGTTTATCAGAATATAATAACAATTAACATTTCATTAATTTACAAAGTACATACAAATAAATATTCTATGAATAATCATACAAAATTAATTTCCTAATATTTTGAGTAATGCTGAATTGAAATAACTTTTCATAAACTTGTAAAAAAAAGAATAATATATATTTAACTAAAAAATACCCAAATGTTTTTTTATTTTTAAAATTTTTGTACAACGCATATCTTAAAAAACAAGTGCCTAAGGAAAATTAAAGCTTCAATATCGCAAAAAATAATAAATAAAAATAAGCAGAAATTTGCTCTTTAAATTTTATATGAAACTTGCATGTGTTTTTTACAGAAAATAAACTAATTTAAAAAATTAAATATACTTCTATTAGCTTTTTGTTCTCTCTCCAAGTCTTCTAATAAAAGAGTAGAAAAAATACACTTCAACTTCTGCTCTATCACAGACTATCAAACAATTGGTAAAAATTAAGTGAAGTAATGAAATTTTTTTTCAATTATTGTTTGCGATTACCATAAATATCTCATTATAATATGAATTTATGCATAAAATGTAAATTTGTTTTCGAAAAATGTATATAAATTAATTATTTTAAATTTCTGATTTCATAATGTTTGGCAATGAAAATATTTACATTCAAATAGTACAGAAATGAGAAGCAGCACATTCAAGATTTTTTAAACTAAAGGGGGTTCTTAAAATATTGACTGTTGGCCATCCTTGTGATGAAACATTAACAATCAGAGAATAAACTTAAAATATTTCCTATAATTTTAAAATATAACTCTAAGAGATTACAATCTTTAGAGTAAACTAAAATTGATCACTTTATTAGTTAATTCTAATGTGCTTGATAATTTTATATATATTGTGCACGAGAATTTCCCTGCAAATAATAAATTTTAATTTTCCTATATTTGTGTTTTACAGTATTTGAACTTAAAAGTTAATTTAATCATTAATAATTCAGAACTATATTGCTATATTTACTAGTTAAGTAATGATCGGTATATATATTGTAAAGCCTCAGGTTTTAAGGTTTGCGTTATAAAGATATTCACTTCTTAAATCACAGGATAAATCCTCAGTAGTCTACAAGACCAGAAATCCTCTTTTAGTTCTATTATTTGACTACAAGCAGTTATGTAATTTACATTTTAACTTCTAATTCTTTAAACAAATTAGTTTAGTTGCATTAAGCACAATTTGTGAAGGAAAAAATAATTCACATTGAGGGAATATACTTTTATGTTTAACTTTATATTAATTGGTTGTATAGTCCTGTGGGTTCAGGTTAACTTGTCAGAAGATGATAAATAGAATATTAAATATGTCAGATTCATTTAGATTGAATAATAAGTCATTAATAATTTATAAATTTTAGTTGAATTAAGTACATTAAATATAAGATAATTCTGAATTAGTTTTGAGTCATAAAACATATTCTTACCTCCATATGAAGGGACATCTGAGAAATGCAAGAAGAAATAATTTTCATTAAAAGAAGAATACAAAAATAGATATAATTACAAAATAGAGAAAATGATGAAAAATAACTCACCTGCATTGCAATGAGACTACGTGAAACTAATTCACGATGTTGTCTTGTTGCAAAGTGCCATGATTTAATTCGCATGAGGTCATCAAATGTAAATTCAAGAATTAACCTCCCTTCTGTACAAACCTATGAAAAGCGTTTATCATTAGATATAATAAATAAGGGAAGCATTGTCTTTATAAAACTATCCATGCTAATTTAAACACTTTTCCAAACAAATGGCTCTTGAAGGTCAGTCCATTAAATAAGTAATAATACAATCGGACCCCGATTTAACGAACCCCTATTTAACGAATTTCGCGATTTAACGAAATTTTTTCCAACCCCAGCAAAAACAGAGTAAAAAAAACCTAATTAACGAATTATTTCAGCATCCGGAAAAAATATTTTTCATTAATTTTGATCAGAAAAATATTGCATTTTTTTGTAATTGGCAGATTCTAAAGGGAAAAAAATCTTTCCTGGGAGGAATAAAATAGAAAAAGTGCATATTCGTCTCAAACAAAAGAAAAGCCTGCAACAGGGGGGAAAAATTCGTCGTGGGTAAGTGGGCAGAGTCAATAAGACATTACACTTGCAAGGTCATTTTCCGGGGGTTTGTTACGTGGACTATGAGTCAAACAGGAAATTTCTTTCTTATCTTAGATAGTCGTTAATAACTAGTAATTTTTAATAATACATATGTACAAAAAAAAATTTTTTTGAACCCCGATTTTACGAATAAAATTTCCGGTCCCGATGAGTTCGTTAAATCGGGGTCCGACTGTGTTACAGAAAAAATTAAGATTCATAACAAAGCTAAAATGCCAAACAAAGTTTTGTAATTTCAAACATAGCAAAATATTTAGATGCCATTCTCATTAAAAGCCAGTTAGTGAAACTTCAAATATACTCTAAATGCTAGAATTAACTGTAACCTATGTCTATCATAATGTCTGGAATGTTGATGCAAATAAAATTTTCTTTGATTCTAGAGTTACTTCTTGTGGACTTTTTCTGAGAATCTTCACTCTTATTAAAATTCTACAAAATTAATATATACATAAATGGTGCAATTTCATCCACTCTGAGCAAATCAACTTTTGTCTTTAAAGGTATATATCTTTTTAGATTGCTTAGTGTTCTTTTTGTCAGTGAATGAGTATCCTGCACATTAGTAGTGTGTGCAGGGTTCAGCTAATTGCAACATAGCCTATAGCTACTGCTGTTCCCAATGTTGCAAAAATAAAACCTTGGACACTTGGATACAGGTATGTAGTGCCATTAGCTGCAGATGACTTTAAACACTTTTTGCTTACATTTTTTATACTAAAAAATGTTTACATTAAAAATTACATACATATATATATATACTCAGGCACATGACTCATTCATAATATTTCAATTAATCAAATTCATTAGTATTTAAATTAAGCAATTAGAGTAAGATAGATAAACAGCAACTGGCAAACACAGTACACACTACAGGTAGCTCTCTGGCAAGTCAGAAATGAGCAAAGTTTTGAAAACACTTCTCCCTTTGCCATTTTAATAACAAGGAAAAACTAGTTATAAGGGAAAAAAGCAAAGTGAAACACAGTCGTTGAAAGGTTAAATGCATATCTGTAAAATTTCTGTTTAACGTCATTAGAAAACAATTTAGTTTTTAAAACATCATTCACAAAAATTGTTACTTTTATTTTTAAAAAAATAAAGAGCTATATTATGCAAATGACATAATGAGTAAATTGAGAGAGAAATGTAAATATGCTAAGCTTATTATATATGTTGGTCTTTTAATTGCTTTTTTACCACAAAAACTTTTTTTGTAAAGAGAAATTTCATCTAATAACTTTTCTTTCTATTAAACAAACATTCCCCTTTCAGCAACCTCTAGTTGTGTTGTAGGTAAAATTTATCTTAGTTTTTTTTTTCTCCCTAAAATACAAATGTTCGTAAGAAAACAACTTTCAGACTTACAATGTACCTAAACAATTATAGAAACAAATCAATCACATATCATTCAATATATCAGGGTCAAGCAAAAAAGAGGAAATTTAATAATATGAAACCAAACAACAAATGAACAAAAACATGCAGAAAGTATGAATTAAATAGTCTATGTAAAAAATAATATATTTATTAAAAAATTTTCATACTGAACTAAAAAAAGAAAAACAGAAAGTTTTCAATGTAAAAAACAAAGGTGAGAATATCTAAATGTTAAGTGAGATTTCTGAAAATTAAGAGAAATTAATAGGCTTTGGGAGAAATTTTTTTTTGTTTTTTTAATTATTAAACATTTTTAATATCATTTACTTTGAAAATCATTAAATATTTTCTTAAAAATACCAGTAATTTTTTAAATGATTATTCAATGTATTTTTATTGAGTCACGTAAATTTTGAACCTCTCATTTGAGCAATAACTTTTTTATGATTTCAATTTGTGAAATTCCAGATGCATATCAACATGGTTTTTTGATTGGCAGTTATTCTAAGATTTTCCACATATTTGAAATAAAAACAGAGAATCCTTTGATGATCAACCAAGTTTCATATAAGAAAGAAGAGCTAAATAAAGTGCAAAGGAGGCAAGAGGGAAAGAAAGAACAGCAAGAAAAAAAGAACTTATACTTTTTCATATGCGACAAAGAAAGAAAACAAGTGACAGATGTCTAAACCACTAAGTTTAGCTACACTTGAAACATTTTTAATAGTTATTGTACTTTAGTGCACTCAGCTTAGATCCTTAAAATTAAAGAAATCTTTGTAAACTTTAAAAACAGGATCGTTAGAGGAATATCAAAATATTATTTTGATATCAAAATATGAATTTGAATAGGTACCAGAAAAGCTGTAAAATAAACATTTGCCTATTACACAAGCATGCTTATTCATAAAATTTAATTATTTTTAAACAAATGTTTTCAATTTGCAAAAAAAAAAATAATAATAATAATAATTTATTGAAAAACAGAACTAAGTATCTTTTGTCTTTTGATCAACAAAGGATAAAAAAAAAAGCTATTTATCATTTGATTAAGTAATTAATTTCAATTATATAATAAAAGAAGGGAAATTTTAAAGTAACAAAACAATAGTTCAATTATTTAATTTTTTCCACAAAATCACTACAGCACCCTCTTTTACTATAACTTAAGATTGCAATTCCATTAATTAAATTTGGTCATTTTTTCATCTTTGAGAGGAGATTGTATTTAGTGTTCAAATCTGTAGTGGAAATGTATATAAATTAAATAAAAATATAGAGTTATAGAACGATACTTTTGCTCCTTTGCAATATTACTGCTCTTCAGTAAATTCACAGTAAAAATAAACTTAAATTATCATATCGTAATATCATATCACAGTCTGCTGAAGAAGAGGAACAATTTTAAAGTTTGTTAAAGCCTATAAAAAACATGCTTTATCCCAAGCTTTTAAATTCCCATTATCAAGCCAACTAAACAAAATGAATTCAAAAAGTTTCAAGAATATTCAGCATGTTTTATTTATTCTGGTTAAAAACACACCTTAAAATTATTTTAATTATTAAAGTTTATTTTAATTAGTAGACATACAAAAATTTGTTTGAGACTTTTCATTTAAGTATATACGCAGAGATGGTTTTAAGTACCCATGCCTTCAAAATACTAAGGCAAATATAATATTTTCACAAGCCTAAAAAACTGCAAAGCAAAGACAAAAACATAAGCAATCAAATCAAAAACAGAATAAAAACATGCAATTAGAAGAAAAAGATCAAACTTTTATTTCAAGAACAGAGTCAAGAACTTATAGCCAATAAAGAAAGCATTCTAGAATTCAAAAAAATGAAGCGTATTGCATTGCACAAATGAAAAAAAAAAGAAAAGAGAAAAGTAATAACAATCCATGCTAGAAGTCAATACTATAAAAATATAATTCAATTTCAACAGAAACAAAAATGAACATAATTATGTAAATTAAGACATACCACAACCGCATTATCCTTTACAATTTGGTCTTTCATTGGATCATTAGGATACTGGCCACCAAGTCCCTGTCAATGCAGTGTTATTAAATTTTTGAAATCTTAATACATGCAAGCAGCATTCTAACGCACAACTTTTTTCATGAAAAGACTTATTTGGAACTATTTGAATAACTAAAATTAGGGCAAAATTATGAAAATCATATCACATGAAGAGCAGCCTCTATTTTCGAAATAATATTTTTTTCTGTTTTTAATGTAAATGTATTAGCACTTGTCCTGAATTTTAAAACAACATAATAAAGCACGAAATTTAAAACCATTTTGAAGTTATTTGTCAAAAACAATTTTAAACAATACCAAGAAAAATAAGACTATTGAACAATAAAAATAATTCAATAATAATAATAAAAAGAATTGCATAATATGCTTAAGGTAAAATATAAATTTAAAAAAAATTAAAAAGATTAAAATAATAAAGAAAGAAGTTTTAAAGATGAAAGTGGTTATAGATAAGAAACTGCAACTAACTTAAAAATAATAAGCAGAAAGAGAACAATTTAATATACAAAAATATACATGTAATCAAGAATATACATGTAACTTTTATAAATCAATTTCAAAACAGTTTAGAGTAAAATTAGGTAGGGTTTTTTATTTTTATTTTTTATCCTGTACACAATTTTTAAGATTTTCAGAGATGTGCTTGTAATCACTTTAGACTCAGTGTTTTGATACCTAAAAAGTAATTGATGAACAGTAAAAATTAAAAATAAAAACTAAAAATTAAATGGGCGAAAAACAAAAGAAAGAAGTTATTTATGTTAAGAATTTATCATGATCAAAATCTGGCTTTGAATTAAAAAAAAATGTTTTAGTTTGATTTCTTACATTATTTAACAATTATGATTTGATAGTTTCAAGCCTTGAGAACTGCTCCTTGATTGAAAGCTAATAACATTTTCAAGCAAAAACTAAATTACTAAAAAAATAGCCATGCATTGTTACTAAACAAAACTGCAAAATGGTTATTAGAATGCATAAATTAAGATCATTGCAAACTTAATTAAAGATATAATAGTGATTTAAAATAAATACAGAATAAAAAACACACAATATGACTACAAAAATAAGGAAAAATATATTCAACTAATGACAAAAGAAATGAGCAAAATCAATTTTAAAGAAGATGCAAAATTAGCATAACGTAATAAACTTGTATTTTTAAAAAAAAATATTGTAGAGTATGTCATTATGGTACTGTATTAAAAAAAACAATACGAAAATCTGCAGTGATAACTGGATATAAACCATATGGATTTATAATGAAATTATTGGGAATCAAGCATGCCAAAATTTGATATTTCAAATGTGCATGTCATAATGCTATTGTGCTATTAACTTACTGGTGGTTAAGCAAATGGACAAAAATGGGAGGATATCCCCCCCATGCACTATTTCTTTTATCTAATAAGATGGAAAAACTGGTTTTGCTACGCAGAGAAAATTATAGGTTAAAATATGACTTTTTATGTGCAAAACCAACAGAGGGTTCAAATCACAGATTTTCAAAAATCTGTAGCAACACTAACAATAGATCGCATTAATTTCTAATGAAATCGATGTCAATAGAATGCTATATAAAAAATAATTACTCAAATATATGATTTTAATTTCACTTGTTCTAATAATGTAGTTTAAAAAAGAGGGTCTGAATTTGAAAAACTAGATGGAAATCCAAAGCAATATTGCTGGAAAAAAAATTGAGAATTCAAAATTTACAATTAGTAATATTACTCTATTAAAAATATTGAGATTTTAAAAAACTATGAAGATATGCATTGTGATAATTGCCAAAAATTAAACAACTTGAATTTTCAATTTAATCGTTGGTTATTGAGAGCATCGGAGAAAAAAAAAATCGAAATTTGTGTGTTGTTACATCATATTAAAATAGAGAAAATTTAAAATCCATGTGGAAATTCAGAGAATTACAGCAGAAATAACGATCAAAAAACCATGTGAATTTACAATGGAATAAACACATTTCTTTACTTTCTTTCTTTTTCTTTTTTTGCAATTTTGGCTTTTAACTTTAACATCCCTAATATTTTAAAGCATACCTAAATCCGGAATTTTCAAAATCCAGACCTTAAAAACCCCCAAGCAATCAGGAATTTCGAAGTTGTGAATTTACAATATAAAAAAAAATAATAAACATTAAAAAAAGTTCATTTTTAAGTTTTTCAATACTTTTTAAACTCAAAATTTATATATTGGTTAAAGAAAAAAATTTTTACAAATTCAGTAGCATCTCAAAAAATAGAAACAAATTTTTTAAGTACAAAATTATAATTTACTATCCAACAAATTATGTAAAGAACCAAGCATTAATTTTATAATTCTTCTCAGTTATCAACTGAGACATTATTAAATTGTTGATTTTATACAACATGCATTTAATATGAATTGTTGATTTTAATTTATAATAAAACTGTAATTATGATTTTAATTTATAATAAAATATAATTACAATCAGAGTTGGGATTTCTTCCAGGACACTGTAAAAAAGTGTAACAAATAGAAGAGACTAAAAATGACCAATAATTTTGTTTAGCAAAAAGTATTCTAACAATAGTTGAAATTTAAACAAGTAAAATTTAAAAGGAATTATAAAAGCTTTTTCATATATCAAAAAAAAAATATTTTCACATTCTCTTTAAAATATATATATGATAGTTTCAAATAGAATTTTAAAATTATTATAATCATTAATTTTTAATTTATGACTAAATTATTTATATCTAATTAATAAAAATACTTATGTTATTCTGAATATTCTGCTTGATGATAAAAACATTAAATATAATATTGCATGGTAAAATATAAATTAAAAAACTATTTTTTCAAAAATTATTTTAAAATTATTCTCACCTAGTTAAATTTTCATTTTTTACAAATTATAGCGAATTATTAAACATAATTATAATAAAAAATTATAATAATTATTCAGTAAATCCTCAACAGAATACTTTAAAGTTAACAAAATACGAAAAAAGTACAAACTTTTACTTTGTTATAATATGTGTTACTATTGAAAATTTACAAGTTATATTTTGAAGCTTTATTAGTATTAATGTAATATATGAATAAGTATTAAATAAAAATTAATAATAAATATTTTTAAGAGTAAATAGTTTATATTAAGATGCTAATTTTATGTGTTATTAATTTGTATAATTCAGAGGGAAAGCGAAAAAAATAATAATCGGCTGCGATTGGAAGTCGGCCAGGCTTTGTTTAGAAATGTTGCTTGTGGCATAATTGTCACTACGAATATATGACTACAAATATTTCCCACATGCTGTTAGATTGTGGGACTGCACACGCGTTTTGTGCAATTGCATATATGATGGTTGCTGAATTTACATAGGGAAAGAAAAAAAAAGAGTAGAAAAAATTTTTGCATACAAAAGTGAAACCAATGCAGATGATTTTTCAGATAATGAAGATATGAAAATTGAATATAGTGGAAGTGATTCTTCAGTAAGTAGCATTATGGAAAACGATAGTTCAAAAACTTCAGACGATTTGACGGCAACTCGTCTATGGTGTGAAATTCAAAAGACGAAGTTGCCACCTACGCCTACTTGTTTAGCTTTCACTGCAAAATCAAGTATGACTTTCAAAACTGACAACAGCAATAATGTTTTGGAATTTTTCCATAAATATTTTGATGAATTAATTGACATTACTACAACGGAAACTAATCTATATGCAGCACAGCGTGTTCATAGATTGAATTCAAAACCAGGGTGTCTTACTACTCAGAATAAAATAACATGTTTTTTTCGGGGGGGGGGGAATAACTATTCTGCAAGGTGTAGTAAGGAAACTGGATCTGCAAGATTATTGGAGTAAAAATCAGCTGTTGAATACACCATTTATTTGCAAAAATATTGGCATAGACAATTTTGCCAAATAAAGCTAAACTTGCATTTCAACAACGACACATATGATCAGGGGTGAAAGTTTCAAAAATTGTCAAGACTGAAAATTTCAAAATCAGAAGTGGGCGTGCTCCGTCCAATAATTTTAAGTGAACAAAAAATTATATATGCATTCTTTTCATAAAAATTGTGAACAAACTTTTCAATAAAAATTAAAATACACAAAATGGAAATAAGGCTTATAAAAATTCCATATTTATTTTAGCAAACCTACAATTGTTCAGGAGTAAAGTATAAACAGAAAATGCAAAGTAATTAGTTATTTCAAGCAAAAATTACCTCAGCTTTTAATTTTTTTTTCAAACATTTAATTTTCTAATAAAATAAAGTGCTAGCATTTTAAGGAAAAGAATAATACTTAGCTAAGTTTATAAATAACAAAAACAATTTTCAAGCTAACCAAGCAAATCTCCACTTATTTTTTATTCCTTCATCGTTAACTTTCAAAGCATCATTGTCATTGATAAATTCCATGATAGCATTTAATAACTCACCCCCACTCACACCATAACTAGTAGACATGTGAGATAGAAAAACAATTCCACAACAATCCACAAATTTTGTGAGTCGCCATTTCACTTTACTTCACTTCTAGCTAATACCAATTTCTCTTTCTAAAGAAAAATAAAACGGAAATTTATTCGCGCAAGCACGGAGCTTACTGATCGACCTTAAACAGGAAGGTGAAGTCACATGTTGCAGTGACGTTTTCCCCTACACACGTTCGCGCATTAGAGAAAACCCGTTCTCCCCTCTGACGTTAACCTACATACGGAACCGGGGAAAAGAAAGAAAGAATGAATCGGTCGTCGCACAAAATAAAATAAAAACCGAACTTAGGATTTACTTATAGTAATATTCCGTTTTGCTCCATCTAGTGTTTTTTTTTTAAAAGACGGAAATCCGTCAAAATACGGAAAATTTTCACCCCTGCATATGATGCGAGTACACACCCAACATGAGAAGTTTCAGTATTTGATTGTACCTGAAAGATACATAACAATTGACAAAAGTTTATTTCTTATAAGGGAAGACTTGGATGGGAAAATATATTACTATGAAGAGACCCGATTTAGAATAAAGAGACCACTGAGGCAAAACTCCAGGCATTTTCCAGATGTTATTCCTGCTACAGAGAAATAATCAAATCCAACAAAATAATATGCTGTATGCTCTAGCAAAAAAAATTCCAGAGATAAGACAGAAAGAAAAGAGACCAGATACCAATGTACAGAATGCCAAGTATCACTTTGTGTTGTCCCTTGTTTTAAAAACTATCATAAAGACTAATATTTAACTTTTCTCATTTGTCTGAGATAACTTGGGATATTAAACAGAGGGTGAATTAAATGTTTTTTTACACATAAAAAAAATAAAATTTCAACTTAAAACTTGTGTATTAAGTTTTATTTTAATGAAATAAAAAAATATGTTGATTTTTGCACTTTTTTTTTCAAAAAATTAATAAGAATATTCTTAGTTAGTGGTCAAAAGAAATGCTAACATGAATATTAAAACCCGGGAAAAGGCACGATATAATAAAATCAACTGAATTTTTAAAAAATTTTCATCTCCACAATCTTAATAAGTATACAATGCATTTAAATTTTCGATATGTTCCTATATAAAGTGCAAATTTTTTTAGAGTAGCTTAATTAGATTCTTATTCATCTGCATCATCTGAGGCTTAAACTTAACTTTCATGAACAAAAAAAACTAATTTATTGAGAAGGAAATTTTTTGTAAACTAGGGAGGAGGACTCATAACGTAGTGGAACAGAAATGTACCACTTGTAAAAAGAGAAAGCTGCAATCGGCTTGATAAAAGTGTTGTCTGCTTTTAGTAGTAAATAATTGTATGCCTATACAGTAGGGAACCGACTATCCGGAACGATTGGGACCATCGCTATTCCGGATAACTGATTTTTCCGGTTTTCTGAATCGCTACAAAAAGCCGTTTTTTTTTTTTTATTGTTAAACCCAACTTAAAAAAAAATTATATTTGGAAATAATCTTAAAAAGAAGAAAAAACGATGAAGTATTACACTAATGATTATTTCCAAATTGATGGTAAGGTAAAAATCTTTCAATATAGAAAGAAAAATCCTAAAATCTTATGAGGGAAAAAATTTTTTTTTTTTAAAATTGTGGGAAAATTAATTGAATTTCGTTCCGGTTTTTTGGTTTTCCGGTTTTCTGATTTCCGGATAACAGGTTCTGTACTGTATTAATATACAAAACTTCTGAAACAATAGATGATTTACAATGAAAGCAGATGTGATTCCACAAGAGGCAAAACTTGCAAATGATACTGCACCTCTGAGGAATCAGAATTTTTGCAATTAAAACTTATTGTTTCTTTAATAGATACCAAATAAACGTAGCAGACAATAAAAACTTTATGTTCATAATAATTAATGTATTATCCGAAATTATAAGACAATAAGAATAATAATTAATGTATTATCCGAAATTATAAGACAATAAGAAATCAAGGACAGCGACAATTGAGAAAGAAAAGTGGATTAAAAAAATCAAACAAGGCAATACTCTCAGGGCTGAAATTTCAAGTTCCTTAACTCGGACATCCAATTGACAACACTCCAGAAACTTCAAAGAAAAATAAAAGAATTTTGAGGATGCAAAAAAAAATGTCCGGGATAAAAAATCTGAGTTTTTTTCTTAATCCTCTATCAAGCAAGCGCAAATTAGTTTTGAAAACAAAAGAATAAAATCATGCAATTTGATAGGATATCAAATTCCCTGACAACTCCAGTTTTGGGATAAAATAGTGTCTCCCAGTGTCTTTCCCCAACTTTTTTTTTGAAATCTTGTTTTCCCTGACAATTCCTGTTGCATACGAATCCTGTCATAAACAGGTCTGCAATAAAGCCTGAGCCGCAAGGCCATCAGTGACCACGACCACCAACAAAAATGTGGTACATGTGATTAAAAATTCTTGAATTCAGTCCACCATTTGAATCGTTGAGGCAGATATTAAATATTCCAAAGAAAAGTCTGCAGGTGAGTAGAGTGTGAGGAAGGGAATAGTTTTATCACTAGCTTCTTTTGTGACACTGCTTTCTGGCCAATTCAAAAGTAATGATCAGTTATAAAAAATTAAAAAAAACATTTGAGAGTTATTTCATTTTTCAATTTAATGTAGAGGAAAGAAATTTAGATAAAATTCCAACTTAATAATTATATCATCTCCATCATATACCAAAAAACAAGTTATTCTATATTATTTTAATTTTTTTTCCCTTACATTATTTGCAAGTTAATTAAACAAATATTTCCAAAAATACAAAATTTGTTAACAAAATATATTCAGCTTAATTCCTTTATAAATTTTTTTGGTTTCCACAATTTTACAGCATATTCGAAATTTGTGTCAAAATTGACACCTCCATTAGTGTCATGAAAAAGATCCCATCACTAGACAATCTGGAAAGGATTTAAATTTTATTTTATTTTGAATTGCAAAATCTCTTTTTTAAGCAGTTACAGTTATTTTGCTTATAGTGCTTGATTAATAAAAATAAATTTCATGAATTCAGGATACATGAAAAAGAGTATTATCGACACCATTACTTTCTACACTCGCTGATGTATTTACACAAGCATTGATTATTTGTTGCATTTATGATGAACAATTAAGTACTTAACAAAAAAGAATTTCTTTTCTCAATTGTTCCTCTTTACACATCAACATACACAATACAATAAATTATCACTAACATTATTACTTTAATCACCACAATTTGAATTCAGCACCCTCAAAAAGTATAAAAATTTTGATGAAATCATTAAATTCATTATTTAAACTTTCAACTATACCAATGAGTATTCAAATTTTGATGTTAATTTCAACTTTTGATACTGTTTTTTTAAGAACAAAAATTTATAATACTTAAATGGACACAAAAGAGTTAAATAGAAATTTGTTTAAAAAATAACTTACTTTATTATACATTGGTTTTCCATGATATGTAATCATTGTTGTCTGATCACAATCTAGAGTGATACTAGTATTATGAAAAGATTCTTTAGGATGTTTTAAATTAAACGATAAATCTGAGACGCCACCTTCAAATATACTTCGAAAATAACGTGGAATTAGTGTTCGTCCAATGGCTACAAGAAAAATGCAAACTTATAAATTACACAAAGTACTACAATATACTTTAAAAATTATATTAACATAGAAAAGAAACCTTACTTTTGATAAAAGAATTTTTCCATGATCCAAATCTATTCATTAAAATATGTAATAACTGAATTTGACCCTCAACCTCTTTTTAAATTACCTTGTTATACTATTTTATGTGTACATTTCAAAAAGTAATTATCTCTTATTATCAAAATAAAAGAAAAAGTTAATTAAAGGCATGCTTAACCTTTTCCCATAGGCTGTGACAGCAGTTGTCACATCTGATCTTGGGGTCATCTGGTGGACATGTGACACTTTCAGCGTTGGAATAGGAGAAGGAATCTCCTCCACAGTTAAGAGGGTTACAGGGGGCGTGTTTTATTGTTTTAGTCACTACGAGGGAGGTCTCACCGGTTTATATTAAGGGGGAAATAGTTTCTTTGCATTTCCCACCTACCTTCAAACATCTATTCCGAGTTTGGATACTTGTTTGTTCATCTGCCGTTTTCTCACTTCTTTTTTAGTCAGTTTTAATGTTACTATTTTTTTTGTACAAATTTTTTTTTGTTCAAGTTGTAAGTTATTTTTTGAACAAATTAATTTCTTTATCACAAATTTAATTTAACGAATATTTTCAATTGTATATAAAAAAAATATGGAATAATCAGAATCGAAAAACTCCAGTTGACACTTCCATGGACTTAGAGGAATCAATCCGAGAGATAGAAAAGCCGATCTCAGACATCAACCCAGAGATATCTACACCAGTAGAAAAACCCAATAAGAAGAAGAAAAGGAAGAAGAGTAATGTCAACCCGGTAACATTAAAAAACTCTGAATCTGAACCAGAATGTGAACCACTCCACCCGGAGAAAAAGATAGCTCCTGAACCAGCGCCGGAGGAAATTACACAACCCAGAAGTCCCGGCTACAGCCGAGACCACAGCAGAAAATCCAGAACAGATAGAAACTCTGCAACCCACTAGCAGAAAGTTAAAAATTCTCATCCAAGGATTATAGGCCGATAACGAGATTCACCATCTCGAAAAAGACCTTTCAGATATTGGTCTACGGTCAATCAAAATTGAACAGATGAAGAAGAGGCGGGGCCAGGAACTTAAGCTCCTCCCCCTGTACTTAGTAATCCTGAACGACGATCCCAAGCACAGAGGAATCTTCAAAGTTGACCGACTCCTAGACAAACCTGTCCGAGTGGAAAGATTTCGTGGCAGCCGCTAAAAAATTTAATGTTTTAGGTGCCAAGGCCTTGGCCACGCCCAAAGAAGTTGCACGAAATGCGCGGAAGCGCATTTCACTTTCACCAGCACCAAACCCCAGAATGAGCCTCCGACATGTGTGAATTGCAAGGAAAAACAGCCGGCCTGTTTCACAGGATGCCGAGCAAGGCCGAAGAGAAAGACCGCATCGAGGAAGAGACAACACAGAAGTGCTGCAAGCTCAGCGACCAGATTTCTACACATTGTCAGAGAACTTCAGGGACTCCTTAAAGATGCGGAGTTAGTTAAACTGCTCCAGTCCCTTCTCCCACCTTCCAGGACTTGGACACGGATAAAAGCCACGGATGTCGACCACGAATCCCCTCTGTGGAATATTCTTTTTATCGTCATTATTCCAGTTGCCCACGGGCACTATCTTAGATGAAGAAGTGAAGTGCCCGCTTCACGAACAGGTACTTCATGCCCTACTTTAGCTCAAGCTCAGAATCGAAAAGCGTTCTTTTAAGAAAATTAAATCAACTTGAAATAAAATATCAAAGCAATATATCTTAAATAAACTCAAAGTTTTTTTTAGGTTCTGTTTTAAATTCGTTTTATAAATAGAGTAATTGGAATTTTAAAATTTTGATTATAAAAACTGCAGCTTAAAAAAAATGTTCTTACATGATTTTAAATAAATATCTACATTTCCAAAGAAAAGTATATACATTTATTACGCAAGAGTATTTATTCATACTTTAGGATACATAAATATTTTAAATATCACATTTATAAATGTATAATTTGTAATGCTAATGTATTTTCTATGTTATAGAAATTAAAATCATAAACACTATTTTTAACTTTTTTTACAAATCCATTTTTCTTTTGTGGCAATTTTTATGTTTCTTTCTCTCATTCTACACACAGCTCAACTTTTAGTCAATAACGAACTCATTGTTATTTTAAAATTATTAATTCAGAAAGAAGTATTTTTAATTTTATTTTGAATATGTACCCATATTTTTGAGAATACTTTTGAATTTTCGATACTCTTATATTTGTTTTGTAAGATTTGTAACAGAATTCTTGTTATACGAGTCGTTCATAACTCAGTGCCCTTAGATGCCTGCTTCAAAATTATAATTTTTTTGTCAGTCTTGGTGACTTAACATGATTTTTCTTTATAACATAAACTTAATAGACATTTTCATGTAAAAGTTAGATATTAGAAAGTTACATATATTCTAAAACAAAAGCTTTTTAAAGAATAAAGAAATTTATTGAAAGGGAATTCAAAACATAGTTGTTCGATGCTGAAACTAAATATCCTGCTTCATTATATTTTACATTCGTGCTAAATACTCCAAATTACAATATGAAAACAATATAAAAACTAACAATAAATTTTTGAGAAAGAAATTGTTATGCTAATGTTGCGTATCTGTGAAATGCCCTCAAGAGACCTGCCTACAAAAATATGACATTACAACTATTTATGTTCTTTCAAAATATTTATAATCTTTCAAAGATGTTAAATTTCCAGCAATGCTACAAATATTGATATTTATAATGTAAAATATTGATATTTAAAATCTAAAATATTGATATTTATAATGCATAATATCGATATCTATAATTAACTAAATTAAGACCTTGAAAAAAAACTCTTTATGCACATAAAAATTTATTCAAAGAAAAATCGATTTCACACGCGAGCTAAAGGATTTTTCTGCATTATGACCCAATTTCCCTGCATAATAGCTCTCAGGAAGAACTGATTTCACGCTTAAACAATAGTAATCCTCAAAATACAAGAGAGGATGATCTATCCATTATTTATATGAATAATGGATATAAACCGAAATTTTCGACATTTTTTTAGCTCAATAAAAGAGTGTTTATGATCACAGTACACCTCATTAGCTTCCTTACTTTTTGCGGAAACATATAAATAAACCAATCGTTTTAATATGGCATCAAAGAGCTTATAAAAAATAGATAACTTTAATAACTGATATAAATATCGCCAGCGAAACCAAACTGAGATTTTAAAAAACTAAATTACCTGTTGAAACAATATCCCAAGGTACAAAATTTTTTTCAACTATTCTTCAAATGTGTAATAATATTTTTACATTTTAAACAGTAAAAATTTAAATGTTTCATAAATAATACTTTGAAAGTATTAATGTAAAACAGTGAGCAATGACATCTCCCACAATTACAATAATTTTAAATTAAATATATGATAAAAAATGTTTGATAGAATGAAACAAAAAAACTTCTTAAATAACCTTTAATAGAAATCAAATGTGAGAAGGATAAAAAATTCAATAAAATTACTCACATGATGGTGACTTTAATTGTTAATATAGTTTAGGATAGATATTGACATTGTAATCTATAGTTCTCTATTTTTTTTTTATTTGTCATAAATCGCAAATGTAAATATATATATATATATATAATGCAGAGAAATGTAGAGAAAACAAGGGAATGTGGAAGACAAGGGAATGTAGAGAAAACAAGGGAAAAATTACAGAACAATAAAAAAAGGAGAAAAAAAGAAAAATAATAATAAAAATAAAAATAACAAAAACCGTTTAGGAAAAAAAAAGGACAAAAATTTTAAAAAATCCGGAAAATAAAAGATATAATCTTTTCATCAGCTCACACGATTACGTCCGCAAGAAAGAGTGCTTTCTAATATTGCATTAATATAGCCAAAGCAAAATATATCAATGCAATAGTGTGAGAAGCACTCAAAAATTTTTCTAAAAAATTACAACAAATAAAATAGAACACAAAAAGTAAAAATATCACGTAAAAACAGAAAATAAAATATAAAGAAAAACAGAATAAAACATGAAATTAAATCTATAAAGCGAGTAGCGAATTCAGATGAACTTAAATTAACGGGAATTTTTTCAAGATTGATTTAAAATATTTTCGTAATGAGATTGCCAGATTGCAAAAAATGAAAACAAAAGCGTAAATTGAGCTAAAGGCGTAGCTACAATTACCCTAGTTCTTGATTTTTTTTTACTTGGTTAAAAAAAATTTAACAGAGACTGATTTTACAAGCACACATGAATTTAGAATCAAGCCAATTTCGCCAAGAAGCAACGCGGTTTTGAAAATTCCACTTTTGCAATACTATGACATTCGAATTCGGAATCACATAAAGCGTATTATATATAGGTGATTTTTTCATCATTTTTCTTTCAGTAGTTGTTGCTGCCAATTTCATCACTATTGCTTTCGATTATTTAGCCCCAATATTTTTCATTAAGAAGATCTTATTAACACACACAAATTTCATATCTCATTTGTAATAACCACCTTTTGAAAAGCTCAATTTGTGATGATCTTATCATATTTTACATGGCCTTGTCTAATGATGGTTAAATGTAATGGATTTTGACAAGATTTATAAAATCTTTATATTTGCTTCAATTTTATTATGACATGCCAATTAGAAATCATGCATCATGTTTCACGCAATCTTGCCCTTTATTTTACATCCTTACAGTTGTGGATTTGTGCACAGATTTTAAAATTCTTCTATTTTTAATACCATGTTATTACAACATGCAAATTTCCATTTGAGAAATCCACTTTTTAGCACTCATTTCAAGCAGATTCATATGCCAAAGTTGTTTATAGTTTTTTATTATTTTTTTTCAGTAGTCATGAATTTTCAAACATTTTTTAACTCTCTGTTGTTTTCAATCTGATTTTGTACGACATTAAAATTTCAAACTGCCCATTTCCGTTTTGGTATTTGATTTCACCATACATCCAGATGGCTTTGTTTCCGCAATTATAACTACAAAATTTTAAGTGATTTGTTAAAATCTTGATCCTTTAATACATTATAACATCCACAAACTTAGAATTATGTTTTTAAAAAAATGACTTTATGGCACACTTGATTAATGAAGATCCCACTATAAATCTATGCGGTTTTATCAATTTTGTTTTCTGGTTCATCAACACGCTTTCTACTGTGGATTTATACATAGTTTTTAAAAATTCAATGCTTTACTACAATATTTTACCCAACAATGTTTGAATGACACACTTTGAGAATCACTTTTTTATGCTCTCGATTAGTCCTGATTCAACTGCTTTTTCACGAGGTTTCAGTCATCTTTTGAACTGTTATAGCTAGGGATTTTCACATGACTTTTAATCTCTCCTTATTTTAATACTATATTATTTTGTATAATGAATTTTGAGTTGCATATTTAAAGAACCGCTTTTAGATGCTTCCAATTTGTAAAGATTTTATTGTAAAAGACTTTATTGTAAAAGACTTCATTGTTTATTTGCTGTGGATTACGACAATTATTATTACAGACTTTCATTCAGTTTTTAAAAATGTAGTTTTGCTTTCGATATAATAACATTTGAAAATGCAAATTTGAATCATGCAATTGAATTATCATTTAATGATGTTCTCTAGTTGTGACAATTTAAATACAAACCTACGAAAAATTCAGAATTGATGTCGATAATTTAATATTTACATGTAAGTTAAAAAAAGAATATGCAAGTTTTTTGGTAATGAACTCCATTATTTTCAATAATTCAAATTATGCTTCAGTAATACCCAATTTTTTATTAGTTTTTTTTAAATCAGAAAACGGCCCTTAACATGACATAACATATATTCGCGCAAATATAATGCACAGGAAGGGAAAATTTAATGTATAAATTCATAAAATGAGGAAGATTTAAGTCTTGATGCGGAATGACCCAAAACAGAGTGAAAATGCAGTAGAGCTGGTTGTTACGCACACAACATTTCAAAATGCAAAAATCACGCTAAAACAAATCTTTCTCTTTTCTTTTTAAAAATCTATTATTTTAACATTTGAGTTCTGTTCCAAAATGTGATAGTTATTTACAAAAGTGTAGAAGACACACACACACACATATATATATATATATATATATAAGGCATTCCCACAACATGACATTGTTCGCTCCATATGTAAATGTAATTTCTCATATGTAAACAGCCCATAGGTAATAAAACAATATTTATAGTTTTAACATCTTTTAAAACTGAAATAAATTTTTTTTTCAAAGGCCTAATCTATAAAAAATAGAAACTTAAAAAAATATTCTAAATAGTAAATACAGTAGGAAACCGATTATCCGGAATGATCGGGACCATCGCTATTCCGGATCACTGATTTTTCCGGTTTTCTGAATCGCTACAATAAGCTGTTTTTTTTTTATTGTTAAACCCAAATAAAAAACACTTTTTTTTGGAAATAATCTTAAAAAGAAAAAAACCAATGGAGTAATACACTAATGACTATTTCCAAAATGATGGTACGGTAAACATCTTTTAAAAAGGAAAGAAAAATCCTAAAATCTCATGAGAAAAATTTTTTTTTTTTAAAAAATGGCGGGAAAATGTATCGAATTTCGTTCCGGTTTTCTGGTTTCCCGGTTTTCTGATTTCCGGATAACGGGTTCTGTACTGTAGTATACAGCTAAGTATTTTTTTAATTTCTCATAAGACCATCATTAGACAGGGTAGCCTCATTCTGGAAAAAATCATAACTGATATATTCATAAAAGAAAATGTTTCAACTAATTACTTTCCACCAAAGATATTTGCAAATGAAATAAAAGCGTTACAACTGACTAACTGATTTCAAAAATTTGATGCAAAATTAAAATCTATGAAATTTAAAATAGCACATAAGACATTTGTCATTAATTTTTAAATTTTGGGCCATTATAACCATAATATATGTGTATCAATGTTATCAAATATAGATCAAAATTATATTTTCAATCCAAATTGCTAATAAAAATCCCAGGTAATTGAAGGAACTAATTGTTCATTCACTAAAAACTGAAACAAATACATTTAGCATTTTACTTTAAAAAAGAATAATAAATAAATTAAAAAACAATAAATTAAACAAAGATACGTATATGGCACAAGAAAATTTTTTAGAATCATTTCATAAAAAATGATAAATAAAAACAAGACTTACTATAACGTTTCGGACCATCTTCTAAACAAAATGTTAACGTTAATGTGGCATCATCTTCGAAAAACTCAGTAGCAAAAGCATCCCACCACAGACTATCACTATCCTAAATAAAAATAAGTTTCACAAAAAATTAATGAGGATGCTTAATTAGTCACAAATTTACAAAAAAAAGTAAAAATTCTTAAAATAATTGTATCATACAATTAGAAAGATCCTTAAAAGTAATTGTAAAGTTACTATAACAATTATACATGCTTCATATATGCTTTAAGCATAAATATACAAGAGAGTTCTGATTATCAAAATAGCATGAAAGTAAAACATTCTTTGGTAAAATAAAATTACATGGAATTTTTTACTGTCGTCAAAGCTAGACTATTTGGAATTTAACTAATGAGAAAAACTAAAGTAACTGGAGTTTTTGAAAATCTATAAAATAAAATAAAAAATTATTTTTTTCAAACAAAAGATTAATTGAAATATTAGCAAAACTACTAAAGTACTGGTAATAAACAATATATAATATTATNAAGGGGGAACTCTTAGAAATTACTATTGGTTTCAGAAATAGGTCGAGTGATTCTCACGAAGATTAAAGGGAAAAATGTCCTGCTTTTAATTAATGTATAGTTGAGCCAAAAATAGATTTAAGGACAGGATGTGAATTTAAAAGTGTGAGAAAGCATTTCGATTAGATTTTTAAAATAAAAGAAAAGGATATTCAGAAAAGAACTAACATAAAATGATTTATTGAAACTTTTCATGTTACATAACATATATATATATATTATTATATATATGCTATTATATATATAATATTATTAGTCTTTAGATAAATCGTGTAATAAAAGTCATTATAGAAGTTTTCTCAAATTTATTAAAAGAAAAAATAGACCTATTCTACTAAATAAATCTTCTGTAAAGTAATGTATAATTAATTTAAACATTAATAAAAAGCAGTTGTCAGTCGTATCTTTTTATCATTAATTAAAATTTCTTTTTAAATATATTTTAATTATCTATACATTTTTTTTAAAAGAATAAAAGGGGTTTCCATTTAATTAATTTAAAGATATGCAAGATTCTGATAACCAGGATTCTACTAGGTAAATTTTAAACCACACAACCCAATTTAACTTTTTTTTTTCAGAAACATACAGATTGCTTCTGAAATAGTCAGATATATTCTTTAGCTTAACTAAAATTATGTAATTTAAAATAAGGCATTTGCATTAGATAATCAGGAATCTACACCACTAGTTATTACAATTCTAGGTAAACAGCCAAATTACCATACACATAAGGAAATTTATAAATTTTCTGTCACTAAAGTGAAACTATAAAACAAAACCTGAGTTGATTCAGATAATAGGGTAGAGTGAAATCGACATGACGTATGAAAATTTAAGCTATATGCTCATAGAAACTACTATATAATGTAATCCAAGGCAAGGATCAAATGCTTCCTCACTATCATAATCCCCGTAGCCGAATAGTTGCAACACGGCGACATTGTTGCAGAACGTTACAGAGTTCTTGCAGAAAGATTATTTTTCTTTAGAAAAGTAAAAAAAAAATTTTCTTTTCTACAGAAATTTACATGTAATATTTGAATTATGCATTTAGATAATCACTTTTTGACACTCCTAATTTACGACGATAGTATCGTAAATTGATGTAATGTTTCAATTGTATTTTTGACAGTTATTGGTTAATTTCATGTGGATTTTAAATATCCTGATATATATTTCAAACAATATGGAAAATTCGAATCATGCATTTGAGTATTTACTTTATAAGGCAATAATGCTATCGATATTTTGGCAATTATTGCTATTGATTTCTCCATAGTTTTTCAATCCAATATTTTTATGCAATATCATTTATTTACAACAATGTAATCTCGAAACGAAACACACATTTGAGGAGCCCGATTTGCGTGATTTTGTCACTGATTTTTTATCGGTTATCACTACGGATTTCATAATTTTTTATTATATATTTTATTGTGATAATTATATACGATAGGAAATAATTTGTGTGTCCCTCTCCACAAAATGTGAGAATATCACCCATAATATTAGAATAAAAAATTAATACATGTTTTATTAAAAAATTCTATAGTTTTACAGCGCTTTTGTTATTTTAAATTTGTAACAAATATGTTAGTTATTATTAAAAGTATCTTGCAGAAAGATAATAGTCATAGAGAGTTTTGGCGCAGATAGCTCGATAAAATTCTGTCACAGGGATCATAATTAAAAGAAACATTTATAATTGAAAGAGAATCATTGAATTGAAAGAAACTAACAGAAAAGGTTAGCTTTTTGTGGCTAATATTACTAAACTTTATGAAAATGTGTGCAAAAATTATTTTTGTTCTCAACTAAATTCCTTACAAATCATTCTTTCTAAAAGGCAATCAGATATATGTTTTTTTCTCATTTTATATAGTAAATGGTAATAAGAGTATTACTATGTTCGACATTACTTTCATCTTTGTTAAAAAGGCCTATCACATTATTTTTCTCCTTTTTCAAACCAAGACTTACAATCTTTATATGTTTAACAAATATACAAAACTAATTTCAATATATTTTGTTTCACTGTGCAATTATTTATGAAATCTGAAACAAATTTAATTTAATCCCAGATATCCATAATTTAAATGGGGAAAGAAAAAAAAATCCTCGTTGGGTGAAAGAAAAATAGTTTATTAAATGAGTTTGATAATTTATTAAAAATATTTAATGTTAAATATTTGAAGAGGTCTTGATAGCTCCTTTCCAAAATCTTCATTAAATGATGCTCTTATATTTCAATATTTCTGCTAATAATAAACTTAGTTTAAAAATAAAAATATGAAATAAAAATTCCTAATTTAGAAGCATATAAAAATTCGTAAAAAAAGATTTCCATACATCTATTTGCAGCAATAAATAAATTAAGCGAAATAACAAAGATAAAAAATTTTATTTTATTTCTTTGTTTAATTATTGAGTTTAGATTATGGATGTAATGAATAGTGATTTGAATAAATAGCCGAATACTGAATATTCAATTAAAAAATTCACCAATTATTTAACATTGAGAGCCGAAAAGTAATATCTTTTTTTAAGTAAACAAATTTAGACAATATTGAAAAATAATTAAAACTTAGCTTTATTATTGGTATGATGAAAAATTCAATATTCTTGTTATATTTATAATACAATACAATGTCTCGAGATCTAAGCTGGTTCGGAAAATAAATCTTCAAACAAAGATCAAAACTAAATGCATTAAATAAAAAAGATAATGTTAATATTTAATTCAATACTGTTTACTCAATTAATCAACTTAAAAATATTCATTAAGGTAGGTAAATGAGAAATATAAAAAGATGAGAAAAACTAATTGCTCTCTCCCTCATATTTCTTTAAATTATAAAATTTAACAATCAACTAACTAATGCGAAATTTAAAATGGCACATAACTTGTTGTAATAGTATAGTAATCAAATAATAATAAAAGAAGACTTCATATGAAAGACAGCTGGGTAAAAAAGTAAATATAGCATAAATCCCAATTAGAATTAAAGTAAACAAAATTTTTAAAAATTAATATCTTGAAAAATAACAGAAATAAATATAAAACATTCATTTACAAAAAAGGAGTTTAGGGATAAGGATTTTTCAGTCTGATGACCTTGCAGCATTTTGTATTATTGGTTGAAGAGATGAACAATACGTATCAAATAATTTTTTTGTCACAATATTCAAAAAGAAAAATCGATATCAATGATCAAAAGAAAATATTAAAGCTGAAAATATCAGATTCTCAATAAAAGAATTTTCAGGAAAAACAAATAAAGTCTGATCGAAACACTCTTGAAAATTGCTGCGTCATAATAAAAACATTGATAAAAACAAGTTATTATAAAGAAAAGCAAAACAGAAAAAATAAAAATCTATCTTACTCTCAATAGAAAATTGTAAACCTGAAAATTTCAATTTTCCAAGCACCATATTCTCAAGGAGTGAAGAAAAATGAATACAAATGCTCGTAAAAATTGTCAGATCATAATAAGAAGGCTGATAAATTCAAAATATTTTTAAAGATAGGAAAAGCTAGAAAAGAACAAAAACAAAAATTTTTCTATATTTCTCTTTTACTTTTTCACATTAAAAAAAAAATTTCCCTTTTAGAAAAAATAAACAGTAAAAAAATAAAGTTCATTAGAAACGTTTCTTAAAAATGCTGTCATAAGATAAACACCAATAAAAAGAAAGGTTAATAAGAAAGCAGAAGAGGAACAAAAAAAAAATTATAATTGCTCTTAGTTCCTAAAACAAAATTTTAAAAATTACAAAAAAATGAAAATCACAATTTTCTAAGTATCAATATTACGGTACAGGAAAAAAAGGTGACAAAAGAATAAAGACTATCAGAAATGTTACGCTAAAATGCAACACTACAATAAAAATAGAAAAACAAATATGAACAAACAAATAAAAATGCAATGACTCTCAAATCTTGAAACAAAAAGTGTAAAAAAACACATGAATAAAATTAAAAGTGACGAATACAATTTTAAGAAAGAGCAGAACAAAAACTTTTGATTCAGTATAAAGTAATCTAGTTTCAATTCTTTAAATTACACAACATAAATTGGAAAGCACATGAATTTTAGAACTTAACAAGAAAGCGTAAAAACAATTTCTAATAATGCATAGCTAAAAATACAAATTTAGATTATCATTCATAAAATCTATTAAAATTCCAAAAGAAAACTTTATCAAAAAATATTTTGCCATAAAATACTTTACCGAATATTCAGCTTAATATTTGGCCATCGGTTAAGGAAAATGTTAACATTTAGTTTTCGTTCAAATGCATTTACTAAAATATTTCCCAATTATTTTTTATTTTTTAAATGGCGGGCACTTGGGGTTTGTCCCATTGGTCACAGAAATGCCAGAACTGCTACTCTCTTCTCGTTACCAAGCGGGCACCTGTGGCGAAGCCACGACGGTGGAACAGCGTCGCCCACGCCACACAACCCTGTTTATAGGGTGGGTCACATTCACACAAAGAGGAAAGGACATAAGCACAGAGAGAGAAAGAAACATCCATGCCCTGAGCAGGATTCGAACCCGCGGCCAATGGCTCCGCAGTCAGACACGCGAACCACCTGGTCGGCTCCCAATTATTATTTTATAATATAAAATGTCATTTTTAATAAGGGAATATTTCCATATCCCTACTCATGGTAAAATAATTGTGAAGTTTTGTTGAGAACTCAGTAACATGCGAGAAATTTTTGCAAACTTGTATAAAGTAAAACTCACAGCTGCCTAGAGGCAAACAACAATATATTTTTTTTCTTTACAAATTTGTTTCTAGTACATCAACCATGCAGTTTTACTTCACACATTGGCGATTTCAGTCGGTACAATCAAGTACTAATATAGAAATATCCTTTCAATATTATAAATTCTATTTCAACTTAATAATATTAGAAATACATTATTTGAAATTCAAATTTACTTAGCAATATTAATAATTTGCAAGAATTTGGTAAAAACTGTAATAGAGTAATAACTCTAATACAGAGTCTTAGAAGCATCTAGGAGTCAAACTTATAATTGTATCCATATATAACTTTACTTATCCACACAGAGAAAAAGAAAAACACTAATTGATAAAGATCATTATAGAACTTTTATTACAAGCTTGTGAACACTTACCATACATGATGCACAGATATTCATTAACGTTTGTCAATGCTGTCTTTAAGTGAAAAAAGTAACACATTTTATCTTAGAAAATAGCACACATGTCATTAAAAATTCATAACATACAATATCTACAAAAAGACAGCATGTCCTTACTACAATATATTTAAAGAGAGATAAATCACTCTAAAATCAGCAGTAAATTATTCATCAATAAATTATTTTGAAAATACATTATGATGTAACTTAATTCAATACCCTTTGTAAGAAAATTATTTTATAAAATTAATATACCTTATGTAAATTTAAAGATAAAATAACAATTTTGTAAAATAAACATATACAAACTTTCACAGATAAACAGCACTGTTGACAAAAAAAAAATATTTTTAGGATTTAATCATTTAAAAAATAACAAATGCCTTATAATAAAAAAATTTCAATTTATATAAGGAAAAGAAAATGCTAGAAATGTACCTTTATACCTCCACTAATCATCAGGAAATTCGATAAATTAGATAGAGAAAAATTTACTTACCAACAAACATTAGCAGAAATATCTTCAGCTTTTTATCGAGTGGTCAGACAATTACAAACCCAAAACTAAAAACAAAATTGACATGTAAACACTTTTAAACATAGAGAATTACTCACATCAGTTCGCTGTTGCAAGCGCTTGTTCATTTCATAGATTCTGTAATCAGGTTGTCCAAAATAAGGTGTTTGTCTCCTAAAATAGGATGAGAAAGGAGAAGAATAAAATGGGTCCATAGCAGGGCCACCAGGAATTTGTTGGCTAAACATTTGCTTCATTTGATATAATTCATCCTCAAACTATAAATAATATATGGTTCCAATAGAAAATTGTTTTCTTAGTAGGTTTATAAAGTTTTATTTATTGTTTGCTCGAATTAATTAGAAATATATATTCTGTATATACAGTAGACTTGTACAGGTTTTTATTTTATCATAAAATGCAATGTTACTTTGCACAAATCATGATCAGTATGTTGGAAGTAGAAACAACAAGAAACGTTTGTGATGATTCTCTCCGTGTCAATTTCTACCCATAGCAAAATATAAAACCATAAATTATGATTCTGGAGTTTAAGTTGACAATCAATGCTAGTTTTATGAATTAAATAAATAATTCAATCAAGCAAAATCTGTCACTCTCATTTTTTAAAGAAAAATAAGAAAAGCAATACAAGACGCTGTTTAGTTTTCAACACACTATAGCAATCGACCAATAATATAACACATTGTTGCACGAAGAATCATTTTGAAGAATATTCAGTCATAACAAACAATATTTGTTTGCATTTAACCTTAATAATTTAGTTAATTTTACATATTACTTCATCGCCATCTGTAACTTCACACTCAACATTGCAGAACTACAAAATCGATCGCTCCTTTAACTTCAGTTCACTAGTCCAAGTGCGCCATCTACTACAACTGACATATTGTTCTAAAATAAGCTTGTTTACACTTGTCATCGTAAACAGATTTGTAGGAAATGCTACACGCTTTAAAAAAAAAATTTCTCTAAACTGAACTCAATTGAAATTGAATACTGTTTGAAGTAACTGAAATAAATAATATTATTTTATCGATGTTAGAAGAGACATTAAAATTGAGTAAATATTTCTAAACTTAAGATTTCTGAAAGTTTCAAAGTTTTAATCGGAATGCACTAATATTCACATGAATTCCATTTTAATTAAATGATGTAGTAATGTATCATACTAGTACTACGTTTGTGGTGAAAAAAATACTGTGTTTATTTGTAGTGAAACAAATTTCATTTAGTTATTCATTTTAAGTGGTTGACGCAGAATCGATCTTCAAAGTTAAGAGACCGATTGGTTCTCGCTGTTATAAACATCGTAAACATAATAAAATAATAAGAAATCGTAATTTCGACATTCACACACCACTTAGACCTCCAATTTTTTCTGATTTCCAGAAAACTGAGATTTAATCACCGAGCTTTTTAAAAGATGGTAATGTCATATGTGCGAACTTGCGTCAATAGTGCGTCTTAATCGTATGCAAGGCCCCGGGGCACAGAAATGTTTTGGGTCCCTGTAACTAGTCATACTGTTTAAAATCGAGCTACAAAAAATTCATGAACATAAGATTCATCATTTTTAAGATATATATATTGTTAAAAAGGTGTAACTAGACGAAATGTAAATTTTTAACAAATTATTTTAATCGAACTTTTATTGTTTTTTTAGCATTGGTGAAGCAGTTTTAGAGACATGAACTAATCTAAAACTTTTTCGCATTAATTTGTTCTACAGGGATATTTTTTCAGGAAAGCAATGATATATAAACATTTAAAAAATGACATATTTATCTTCATCTAAAGTAAGCCAGATTCGTTAGATTTCAGACTTTAGCAATTAAACTCAAAATTAAACACGCACACCAATGTGTGATTTCATGAAATGTTGGCTGACCTTCGTAAATATAGAATATTTATACTATTATAAATATTCGATATTATTAAAATATTCGATATATTAATTTCGAAATTCAATCCTCACTTTTCTCCCGAAAGACTGTTGTATCTATAACTTTCGAAACTACATCTAACTTTTATTTATTAAAAATATACTAATTTGTGACTAATTGAATATGTATATAATTCCAAGCTTCTTAAACTTAAAACTAAAAATTTATTAAGCTATTTAAGTAGCTGGAAGATATATTACTAAAGATAAAAAATTAAATCCGCCCTCTCAACCGGCTTTCTTAATTTGCAGACTTTTTAAAGTTTTCGACTTTGAATCAGAGTAATAGTAAACAGATTTATAAAAAAAAAAATTATTATAATTTACTCTCTCTGTTTGTGAAACATTGAAATGATTTTAAAACTTTGAATTATAACTGTCAGGCCGTAAAACAATGGGAATCTTTCTGTTTTTGGCCACATATTATGCATACAAAATATGCGAAATATGAATCGTTTAATACTTGACGTCCCCCCCCCCAGAGCATTTTTTTCTTTTTTTTACTTTTTTTGTTTTCTTTGGAGGAAAAATAATATGAACATTTTTTTTTTTGTAAATTTCTTTCGCGTTTGTTCTCTATTTTAATTTTTATACAACACTTTTTCATAAACGAAAGAATTCCATTTCCAACAGAGAAGGTTTTTTTATGATTTTTCAGCAATAATCAGGAACAGAATAATCAAGAATTTTCAGAATAATAAAAAACAATGACAAAATCACGATAATTAAAAAAAATTTAAAAGGTCATTGAAATTATTAAAAAGCAGAGTTGAAACTTCTTCCATAAGAAACAAAAAAAAAAAAAAAAAAAAAAAAAAAAAAAAAAACAGGACGACGAAACGACGGAAGAAACTGTATGTTAATCAAAGAAACTTAAAATAACGAATATTACTGTTCAGCGATAAGTATCAGAATTGTTTAAATTCAAAACAAGTTAAATTTAAAGTTTAATATAGTTCAAGAAAAGAAAGCAAAAAAAAAGTTCTTCCCTTCTGAATTTTTTTAAAAGAAAATATGGTTCTTCATTAGGTTATTTTAGTTATATTTTAGTTTTTTTTTTAGGTTAGCTATATTTTAGTTTTTTTTTTTTACAAGATTTTAAAGTATATAATTAATTTAAGTACTTATACTTAATAGCATTTCATTAAAAAAATCAGTATGCTATGCTATTTATAATTGTGATTTTATTTAGTATGCTATTTATAATTGTGATAATAGTTTAGTAATTTGTTGATTTAATTTTACAAGTAAAATTTAATTTTGATATTTTAACAGTTTCTCATATAATCAAAAAGCTGTCAAACCTTGGAAGATACCAAAAATGTTTAAATTACTTAAGAAACAAATTTTTTTTTCAATTGCTACGTTTTAGTTTTTATTTATCAAAAAATTATGTCCTAAATCGAAATTAATACTATTACTTAAACTAATTGTATTATAATCAATAATACTCAATCCTGTACGCAAATTTATATTTTAAAAAGCTGTTTTAAAGCGTAATATCTTTTTTTAAATAATTTCTTCTACTTGGGTAGAAAGAAACCTATTTCTTATAAAGCGGTTTTTTCCGTGTCTATGTTTTCTCTTTTCTTTTTTGCGAGTTTTTCTCTGTTTAAAAGCTAATATACACCATCAGATGAAATAAATTTTTTTTTCTCGCGTTGTTTTGTTCTTTGTCTAGTAAAATTTTAATTCAGTAGGTGTTTTACTGTAGCCTACAGGATTTAGAATATTGGCGAATAATTTTACTTTATAAATGAAATAAAGGGAAACATTTCAAGCATTTGTGCTATAAAATACTCTTATTTTAAATTACTTTCTTAACAACAAGGTAATTACTATAAAAAGCTATATGAGCCATATTTTTTAATTTATTTCGAATAAGTTTCTGAAGTGCAATGTGTATTTTTTTTTTCGAACATAAAATTAAGAGGGCGATTTCAAAACACAGGAGATATTGTAGGATTCATTAAAACTTTTCGACATTTTTGAGAGATTTTTCTAATAAAAGTCATGGGGATATTTTTAAAGTTTTTTTAAATTTTAATTCTAACCCAATTTAAAGTAATATTTCAGAAACACCATTTATAAGTATTTGTAACCTAATATTTTATTAAATATATAATTTAATGTGTTTAAAGTATCAGAAGTTGAAAAAGATACTGAACAACCTTGTTCTTAGGACTGCCAAGTACTAAGCTTTTTGCAAATACTTTATATAGTGGTAGATAGATAGAAACGGAAGGTTTCAGAATTTTTGGCAATTTTGACAACATTTTAAAAGTATCACCCCGAGAGAGTTAGAACAAAGTGGTGTTTCATATGAACTTTTAAATAATTTATATGTGGTGGTGTGAAAAACACCCAGAGGCACATATTAAAACATAAACTTAGAAGAGATTTTTCCCATAAGCATAAAAATCTGGCAGTTTCAAGTGACAGTTTGCTTCTATAAATAAACCTGCATGATACAATTTATTATTGCTGATCGAAATTGGCTACAGGTCGCGTTGAGCAGAATTCCCTAACCTATGGCAACACCTCGCATGCTTTCACCATAGCATTTTATAGCGCGTGAAGAGTCATAGTAGAACGTGGAAGTACGTTAGTTTCTAAATCATGATTTTCAAATACAGAACCCGTTATCCGGAAATCAGAAAACCGGAAAACCAAAAAACCGGAACGAAATTCGATAAATTTTCCCGTCATTTATTTAAAAAAATGTTTTTTCCTCATAAGATTTTAGGATTTTTCTTTCTATTTTGAAAGATGTTTACCTTACCATCATTTTGGAAATAATCATTAGTGTATTTCTTCATCGTTTTTTCTTCTTTTTAAGATTATTTCGAAAAAAATTTTTTTTTTTAGTTGGGTTTAACAATGAAAAAGACGGCTTTTTGTAGCGATTCAGAAAACCGGAAAAATCAGTTATTCGGAATAGCGATGGTCCCGATCGTTCCGGATAATCGGTTCCCTACTGTAGAATAAAAACTTTTAATCTAAGAAACTATATGAAAACTACATTGAACATAGTTCTAAAAGAAAGAGTCATGGAAATTTTTAAAAAAATATTTGTAACAATTAAATATGAGAAATATTAAGAAATGGGAAATATTGTAGTGCATTTCTGTACAGCTAAGAAGAGGAAGAAAGGGTCAAGACATGGGACCGGTATTCTCCCCAGAAAAACTGTGTTCCAGAGTTGCGATCACGAATGGGCGAAATTGTACTTGTGCATAAAATAAAGAGAGGAAATAACTTTTGAATTAATGAGTGGATTTGAAATTTGTGCAGCTAATATTTGAAGATACGAAATCAGACACCAAAACGTACTTTCTCTGAATAAACATACTTTTCCTATATGATGGTCCAAAAATATGATGGTCTTTACGTAAATATAAATGCTATTTTTTAAATTTTTCTCCATACCTCGAGAAATTTTTTAAGGGAATCAAGGAACTTCTGCGAATAGTTATAAATTTTTTTTATATGCAAAATATATTTTTTTATAACTAATAATTATTTTTTACAATTTATTTCAGTAATGGATTAAAAATAGTTTGACTCTTAAGGTATGATACGTAAGTTAAGAAAAGGTAAGTTAGGTAATTTAAAATTACAAAATCCAAAATTTTATCGGAATTGGTCAAATAATTCTAGAGGGATAAAAATTACAAATACGACTTTTTTAAAAATTCATTATTCGGAAGCTTTTTAACCGATTTCGATCAAATTTTGTATTTTAAAATCGTAATTAAGCGGAGAGAAAGAAAGAAAAACATTTCAAACTCATTTAGTGACATCACTAAACTTTCGGATTTCTAGTTTATAATAATAATAATAATAATATAAAAAAGAGGAAAAATCAAAATTATGCATTTTAAACTCATTAATCGGAGCTACTAAACTTTTTGATTATAATTAATTTCCAATATCTAACA